CAATACTAAATTTGTAAACGTCGGTGAAATAAGCGTTTTAGTAGCCAGAACTTTGAAAAAAAAAATTTTTTTTCAATGTTGAAAAACTTACTATGGTGATTCTAAATTACAATTTCCTAACCGTTGTTTCCATGGTAAACTACGTTAAATTTCCAATAAGATGTGGTCAATACTAAATTTGTAAACATCGGTGAAATAAGCGTTTTAGTAGCCAGAACTTTGAAAAAAATATTTTTTTTTTCAATGTTGAAAAACTTACTATGGTGATTCTAAATTACAATTTCCTAACCTAGGGACCAGCAAATTTCAGAAAACGTACTCCATTTAATATCCTTTTTAGTGGTGTAATTGCTTTTGTAATAATTTTTTCAAAGATGAAGAAATTGATGAAGGAAAGGAAAAAACCGTGATTGACGGATTAGTAAAGTGGAAAGATTAATAATAAATAATAAAAAAAACTGAAGGAAATTTTGAATGAATGCAATAAAAACGTTTTGAATCTTAAAACTCTTTTATTACGGGGAATAATGATACATTAATACAATAATCCTTTAATCAAAGTTGCACTCGTGTTGGTAAATAAGTTAATAATTGCACTATTTCGGTGTCGAACCCAAATTAAAAAACGTTCAATAAATTCTTTCAAAATTTTTTATGTTTTTTCATTTGTTTTTAATCTTTCCCACGTCCACCACGGTTTCTACCATTCCTTCATCAATTTTTTCATCTTTGAAAAAATTAATTAAAAGAGCAATTTCACCACTAAAAAGGATTTTTACACCACTCTAGGTTTAGAAATAGTAGTTTCGAATCACCGTAGTAAGTTACTGAACACTGAAAAAAATTTTTTTCAAAGTACTTGCTACTAAAACGCTTATTTCACGAACGTTTACAAGTTTAATATTGGTCACATCTAATTGGAAATTTAACGAAGTTATAAATTATCATTATTTATTTGAAGTGAGGTCGTGATAACTTAAAAAATCAGAAAAAGGGAAATAACTCCGAAATTGTTGAGATTCGAACCGTATAAATTAGGACGTTTTGGTTTCATTTTGAATGTAGAATCTTTTGGCAAAATGTGCAACACGAGTAGCCGAACACCCTGTATATTATGACATTGTGTTCAACCAAATAAACAGGCAAAAAATTAATGTAATTGTCCTAAAAACATTGGTGAAGCTTCTTTTGCACTTTGATTTTCGAATGATTTTCGCTAATTTTCATAAAATCGAATTGACTTAATGAATCCTCGATGGAAATAGGTTACCGGTTGAAAAACAAAAACCAAGGGGGCAATAGTAAGTGTACACCCTGTATAGTAGAGTGAATGTATTTATTGGCGTGAGTAGTGTGTAATGCTAAAATATACGCCCGGATACCCGCAACATTTTCACTCCTGAGAAGCTGTGGAGTTGGTAAAGATATGGTTTGGGTAGCATTTCAATGAAAGGTCGCACAAACGTGATCTTCATGGAGGGTAGCCTAATAGCTGTGCGATACATTGAAGATGTGTTATCAGAAGTTGTTCTTTATATGCTACTTGAGGGCTGTTTTATTTTATGCATGACAATTCAAGCCCCACGCGGATCGTTGGTGACTACTTGGAAGGGGCTACCAATAAATGTTTGTAGTGGCCAGCATATAGTCCCGACTTAAACCCTATCGAACACCTTTGGGACGAGTTGTCTAAAAGGGTAAAAGTAGCCCATTGATGGCAGAGAATGGCGCTGTTGGATGAATATCAAAATATTCCACAGCACAACATTCAAAATCTCATAAAATCGATGTCACCTCGAATGCAAACAGTCATCAACGCAAGATGAGGAAATAGTCCGTACTGAATTGAATATTTTCTTCATTGTTTCCATAGTAACATTTTTGGTACAAATTGTTTTATTTAGTTTAATTTTTTAATTTATCTATATATTATATTTTTCTATAAAAATATCTAGTAAACAACAAAAAATAAAAATTTTAACGATTGCTATATTTACTTTAAGATATGATATACGAGCTTTGTGATCTATGTGTCATATTTGTCTAGATTATTTTTTTATATGCTTAAACCACCATCATGATTAATGTATGCTTAAACATTGTGCTAGTTTGGTTCTGATGTTCCGACCTTCACTAAGGATATCTTGCTGTGTGAATAAAATAGCAGTCTTTTATCGATTGAAATTTGAATTTGAAATATGAAATTGAACAATAGCACTTATAAACCTCTATAAACGGTATGTAATTTTTGAGTCCTCCGGTGAGTTAAGACTCAGAAGGAAAAGCGTGAAAGGAACGACTCCCACACGAACACGAAGACAATGGGCTCCTAGTGACAATAGCTGACGTGAGACGACAGGTCTTTTGCAAATATCCTTATGTGTTCGTCCTTGTTCCACTGGAAACGTCTAAAAGCGGGAGCAAATGGGCCGAAGCGGTGAACCGTTGCCCGGAAGGCATGAGACAATTCCCCAGTTCCACAACTCAGATCCTAGTCAAACGGATGTTGGAATTCCACATGTTTTGTTAAATCATGTCTTGATTTGAAGCTATTTCTTGCTATACAGAGTGTATCAACTTCTATAGTCTACCTATTTAGTTCGCAAACGATTAACTTTAGCAAAAAATGATTTTGTACAAACCCCAAATTAATTTTGGTTAGGAATCGCGTGGTGGTAACAGATTTAATATAACTTTCTCATCTAGCTGGGAAATGAAACTAACTTTGTTTTTTAAATGAGGATCGCATCGTTTATTGTAAGATTCGATTCTAGAGTTATTTTATACCAATTTCACTGAAAGGAAACTTTTCATAGGATTGACTATTTCTGCGTTATCCCCGACGGAAGAAGCATGAGGGTGTGCTTTTTGTAACAAGACGCCTACCCCCTTTATTTCGAACTTGATAACTTAAACAAAAAATGGTTTTGTACAAAACCCAAATTAATTTTGGTTAGGAATCGCGTGGTGGTAACAGATTTAACATAACTTTCTCATCTCGCTGGGAAATGACACGAACTTTTTTTGTTTAAATGAGGATCCCGTCGTTTATTGTAAAATTCGATTCTCGAGCTTATTTTATGCCGCTTTTACGGAATGGAAAATTTTTGATAGTATTGAATATTTCTGAGTTATGCCCGACGGAAGAAGCGTGAGGGTATGTTTTTTGTAACAAGATAGCCCACCCCTTTTATTTCGAACACAATTAACTAACTTTAGCAAAAAATGGTTTTATATAAACCCCAAATTAATTTTGGTTGGGAATCGCGTGTTTTCTTTTTTTTCGATTTATTCTTTTTGTATCAAGATAGCCCAACCCCTTTATTTCGAAAACAAGATTACCTTTAGCTAAAACGGTTTTATACAGCCCCCAACTTAATTTTGGTTAGGAATCACTAGTGGTAACAGTTTTAACAAAACTTTCTCATCAAGCTGGGAAATGAAACTAACTTTGTTTCTTTTAAATGAGGATCCCTTCGTTTATTGTAAAATTCGATTCTAGATCTTATTTTATGCTAATTTTACTGAAAGGAAAATTCTGATAGGACCGACCATTTTTGACTTATGCCCGATGGAAGAAGCGTGAAGGTAAGTTTTTTGTAACAACAAGATGGCCCACCACCTTTATTTCGAACACGATTGACTTTAGCAAAAAATGGTCTTATACAACCCCCAATTAATTTTGGTTAAGAATCGCGTGGTGGTAATAGATTTAACATCTGTTGATCGTTTCCGAATGAAATTGTAGACTATAGAAGTTGATACACTGTTCTGCATGTACGTCAAGGTCTGTTAAAGAAATAATTTCAAGACTCTGATCTATTTTTAAATGTTACAAGTGTGTACTGGCAGTCTAAAACTCTAAATAGTCCGGATTCAGACAGTGTACTGAAATTTAAACAATAAAAAAATTCCTGTCTATAGGAGTGTTTAACGTCCAACTGCCCATTGAGTATGAAAAGGTTGCAACTGCTCGTTGGGACATGGTGTCAGACCTCTTCACAATTCGAAGGGGGCTCGGATTAGAACCCAGAACCATTAGTGTTGCGTAGATTAAAAGGGATTGTTTAAATATAATCAAATATTTTTTTAAAAATAATTTATGTATATAAAAAAAGTGTGACACTTCAAGGATAGAGTTGAAAATCCAACATGGCTGTATATTAGACCTGGTTGATTTACTGAATAGTTCAATAAAGTTCATAATTTATCAGGAAAAGTTTACTGAAGTTGTTCAATTTAAAGGATCAAGATTGCTATGCTATTTAAAGTCAAATTTTTATTGAAACTATAAGTCATTAGGAGATTGTCACCAAGGTTGCATAATTTAATCTATTTTCTTCATGGTATGATGTATATTTGTTTTTCTTTAACTTTTAATTATTAGGGTACTGAACGTTAGAATTTATATTTTTCACTCAAGTCCTTAAAAGTCAGAACTTATTTGGGTTTGCAACCGCTTCGCCCATTGCCAGAGGTCGGATACCCATTTCCCCAATTGGTCAACTGGGTTAGTGTCCGAATACTTTCGTTGTTTTTTTTAACACTATATTTCAATACGTTGGATGAATCGGCACAAATCCGTCTGCCCCTCGGCTGCGGCAAATAAATCCGGGCCCGATTGTTTATTTTACAAGGCCGTCGACAAAACAAAAAACACGTCGGGCCTTATTGACCAGCTAAGCATAAACCCGGCCAAAATCAGCACAACCAAGCAGACGTCCGCTGGAAAGGCCCATCACGATTTACAAAAAATATGACTCGAAAACTTCAAAAATTGGTGAAAGATGAAATCCCGACCTTTTTCGAAAAGTAAATATCGACTTTCAGGGCGACGCCAGGCGAGAATCGGTTTGTTTGTGTTAGTTTAAAAGCAGTTTATGATGTTTTCTCCATGAAAAAATGATAAATTCAAGTCATTTGTGTTTCTCTTACAAAGCTGACATCTCAGATCAAACGTGAAATAAACTGCACAGAAGAAAATATTCAAGAATAAAATAAATACGATAACCTGTGCTACAATGTTTTAAAATTGAAACAAAAAATTCAGATAGGTGAAAAAATTTTAAGAGTAGATTTAAAATAGACATTAAAACTCGCAGACGATTAACGTCCACGAAACAAACCGACCAAATAAACCCTTTTAAAAACCCCTAAACGTTTTCCAGGACTTGTTGATGTCACCCGTCGCCTCAGATGGGAATTTAATTGCCACAACCGGCCCGTGCGGCGAGAATAGACGGCATGCTGCCGCTCAGTAGAGAAGAAAAAAGATAAACAGGTTTATAGCATAGATTACCCTGGTCCATACGTGTTATCATACAAATAGTCGATAACCGCAAGGAAAAGTTAGCCGGCGGGTCGCCCTATCTCGCTAGTCTGGGCCCGGCTTTCGCCAAAAACGCATCGACTCCTCGTCATCCAAAACTGAAATATTTCCCCCTTTGGCCGATTTTGCGACGGCGGACGTGTAAGTAACAAGTTATGAAATAGACTTATGACGTGTCCGTTCTTATCGGCTCCGCAAGGACGGGCTACGTTCCTCCTAGGTTTTTTCTCTCCTTTTTCAAACATTTCCAATCCAAAACAACAATGGAATTAACTTCCACTCTCTCCGGTATTAGAGTTGAAGGAGAGAGAATTAAACGGCACAACAATAAAACGTATATTCGCGAGGATGTGGTGTTTATATAAGGTTTTAGGGAAAAAAACCCATCGACAATTCAATCCGGATTAAATTAACAAAAATTAGATATTGTTAAGACAAAAAGGGAATTTAAATATAAGACACTGATTATTAACATTGTTAATAATTTAATAACAAATAGTTAAAAAATTAAACCGACAGTTTTGTAAGCTAAGAAGCTCATGAAGACATTGCCAATCAAAAATCGTTGTCTGATGTTTACACAAAAGAAAAACGTAAAATCAAAGACAAAAATACACTTTTTTTGTAAAATATCAAGTTTGATAAAAACAAATAAACCCCTAACCCTACATTTTGAAAATTTTGGCTGAAGCTCTCCCCGCTTGAAGTCCGGCCAATATTATCCCAAACCTATCCAATGAAACAACAAATCGCACTACATATTATCTATGTATTTTATACTTATCAGGAATCGCACATATCTGACATAATAACAATCTAATGTCAATTTAACAAAATCGGTAGTTTAAATATTAAAATTAATAATTCGTTTAATTTTTATTAAAAACTTTAGGATATACATTTTTGTACAGTTAAAACAGGCGAATAAGAAAAAAATATTTATCGTTTCGTTTTCTCCTTTAAAAGAATGCGCGTTACACAATGCCAAAATTAAAATGAAAAGCCTTTTTCGTTATAGTTTAACATTAGTCATAATAATTATACTTTTTTAAGTCAAATTATTGCTTGTTCTTTTTAGGAGGTTAATTTTAAAAAGATGTAAAAAATGACCCGAAATTTTATATATTTGCGTAAGATTGAATGAAAAATAATTAAGGGACTATGTTCTGTTTTACATGGGAACTATTATAAAAGAAGAAAGACCAAAATACTTTAATCAAATACTTCTCTACTCGAAGCCGAAAGGATTTTTCTGAATAAACTTGTAACAACTAGAAAATTTTCGTTTCAACGTGTCTATACGGGGCAAAACCATATTATAACAAATATTGAAATTTGGGAAAATGTAATTTTTCTTAATGTTGCCACCCCTTCAAAACATGATTTAACCACCATAAAAAAAATAATTTAACAAAGAGAAAACATCTAAACATGTTAAAGATTGTTATTAGATGGTTTTTCACTATTAAAACCGCCTAACAAATAAAAATAAACAATAATTCCATCCTTTCCTACTTTGATCTGCCTATCCTCGCTAAGTGGGTCAGACGTTTTGTCATTTTGTCATCTTCAGTGTGTCAGATTATCCCAGGGAAGATACTCAGACCAAAATCATCATCGGACCATTTAAATCTCACGAATTGAATTTTTTTTACAACTCATTTCGGTTATGTTTTATCCATTAATTCGCTGTAAGATAGGCCAAGTTGCGAGTAAACATTAATTTGAAGTTCTTAAATCGGAAAAAAGGGAAAAATTGTTAAATTTTCACTTTCTAACCACCCCGTAGAACGCATAAGAACGTCAAAAGAACCGAGCACCAGACTTCTGTTATATATTGAACGAAAATACCTGGAAAAATTATATATNTATATATTCAAAATTCCTCCCGGTACTCAATGAATGGTTTGAAGGTTCAATTTTACAAAATAGGTAAATTGCCAAATCTGACATTCAAACCACCTCTTGAACGTCAAAAAAGAGAAGTATTTGTGTCTGTTGCATACTGAACGAAAATATAAGAAATAAAATTTAAGCACACACACACACAAACAAACAACATAGTATTTATTACAAATAACTGTTAGAAATTTTTTATAGTATCAGTAAATTCCAGGAGGGCTCAAATGTCCAATTTTACAAAAGAGATACATTTCGTTAATGTAAATTTCACGGAATAAAATTTATATATTCAAACCCCACGTAGTACTTACTCGTTGAAATTTATATAAATTATAATTATAAATAAACATGTTTATTTTAATATTCACTAAGTTCTAAGAGGGTTTAAATATACAATTTTACAAAAGAGATAAATTTTGAGAATTCAAATGCATGAAATAAAATTCGTGTGTGTATTCAAACTCAGTGAGTGATTCAGCGAAAACTGCGAGGTTTGAACATTCAATTTTACACTATTTATTGGAAGAAAATAAATAATACATGTTGATATGAAAAACATTGTGTTTTTGCCTTGTTCAGTTGGACTTATTTGAAGGTGATTTTTTACTGTTTGCCACATTTAAATATTCAAAACGAAGTTGTTGAGGACTTATTTATCAAAACAACAGTTTTCTTCTTATCTGTGTCCTTGTGGGAATTTTTAAATTAGACATAAATGTCGAAAATAAATTTTATAAAACAGTTCAAGGATTCTTCGGTTTATTGTTTGGCATATAAAAGTCATGAATTTCTTTTTTTTTAAGAATAACATATCGCGTGTAAAATTGGAATAAGCAGACTTTATTGATGTTTTGGTGGAGTTTAAGACAAAGTTGTCCCCCTTCGGAGGACTTTGCGTTCACTGAATGCCACAAGAGTTTGAATGTCCAATTGCTCCAAACAATTGCTCCCTTTACCGATATATAAATATAATATTGTAATAATACATCATATGTAGAATAAACTAAATAAAATATAATAGAATGAAAAAAGCGTTGTGTATTTTGTTTTGTGGTTAATATAACTTTTTTTGTAGTTAAACCAACAAAGGTAATTTGTTGAGGACTTAGTAATCAAAAGAAATTTTTAAATTGAACATAAATAACGCATATAAATCAAGTAGAATTGAAAAAAAAAACCGTGGGGCAAATGTGCCTTATGTCATATTGGACTTTTTTTAAAGTGGTATCTCGTCTGAACAATAAAATTAGAATAATCAATAATAAACTTTAAAACAGTCTCGCGAGAACTTAGATGGGTGGTGAATGTTTCGAAGAAAGAAGTTAAATTTAATTCTTCTTGTAGTTGAAGTGATTTAAAATATGTGAGGTAAAAAAAATTGAAAATTTGGACCAATGATTAAAAAAGATAGGAATTTGGAAATTTATTTAAATTTGCTATGATTTGAAGTTTTCTAGACTTGTTGAAAGTTATAATATGTATATAAAAAAAATTAAAAAATACTCACTCATGATCCTCAGGTAGTTGGTGGACATGGTGCGATTATTGGTCGGGTAGAAAAAAATACAAATAAACAAAAGCGGTTATCATCGAATCACAGTGATCACAGTTGTTGTTGTTTTTGTGTATGTTGATTTTGGGGGGGGGGAGTTAACGGGCAAGGATAGGCGAGCGATACCGTTATCCTGGGATCTGTGGCGGCTGTGCGAAGGGCTTTCTTTCCGTCTCTGATCTGGGTTCGTGTATTACGAGGCGGATGGGCCTTCTGGCCGGGTGCGCGGCTGGCCGAGGGGGCGAGAGGGGTGGGGGCGACTCCCTCCACTCCCCGCCCTCCGCCAATCAGCGCCCGCCCGCCCCGATCCTCAGGATAATCGCCCGCTGCGCCGACGGGCTTTTCGGAACATGGCCGGGCGCTTTTTTTTTTTACACGAAGCACGGACTTAATTCCGATCCGACCCCCTATAGAAAGGGAGTTAAGTTAGGATAGACAGATAGATAGATTAATTGATGGCCATACATATGCAGACAGGCATATTGTTAGACAATGACATACAAAGATTGAGATAAAGTTACGTATTGAGATATGTAAAGATAGTAATAAATATTTAGGAGCCTAAATAAATATATGGATACAAGGGTATTAAGTTGGTCAATACATAGACAGAGTGAAGATAAGGTTGAACTAAGAAATAGATGCTAATCGATATTTATATATGTATAAATGTATAGAAGTAAATATGTATAAAAATGGAAAAATCGACACAGCAGAGAGAGAGTGAGAGAACGAGAGAGAGAGAGAGAGAGAGAGAGAGAGAGAGAGAGAGAGAGAGAGAGAGAGAGAGAGTGAGAGAATAAACAGACTGTGTGTATTTTTAGAGAGAGAAAATAAAATGTTTGAGATGTAATGAGTGAGAAAAAGAGAAAAAAGAAAGAGATCGAATGAGTATGTGTGTGTGCGAGAGAAAGAGAGAGAACGAAAAAAGGTTGTATCAGAGAAAGAGAACAAAGTAGAAAGCATTAGAAAATTGGATAAAGTGGGAGAGAGAAATAGAGTGAGAATGAGTGAAAATGAAAGGGAGGGAGAGAGAGAGAGAGAGAGAGAGAGAGAGAGAGAGAGAGAGAGAGAGAGATAAAGAAAGAGTGAGAAGAGGAACTGGAATGAGTGTATTTGTATATAGAGAATGTTTCAGAGACATAGAGACAGAGAGAGTGAGAGAAAGAGAAAAAGAAAGAGATCGGATGAAAGAGTGAGAGAGGGAACTAAAAAAGGCTGTATAAGAGAGAAAATAAAGTCAGATAATTAGCTTTACAACTAAACCTATAGAAAGAGAACAAAGTTGAAAATTGGAGAAAGAGGGAGATACTGAGAGATAGATAGAGGTGTGAGAGGGGTAGAGAAAAAGTGAGAAGAATAAACAGAAGGTATGTATTTGTAGATAGAAAATGTTTTAGAGAGATAATGACAGAGTGAGAGAGGAAGACGCAATAAATATATATTAAACTTCTCATCCCCTATTAATCTTACTATTATACGTTATACTATTATTCTTGCTCTAGAATTCCTTGCTTGTTCTAGAATAAATAAAATCCCTTATTGTCTTAACTGCACTAGATAGATAGATGAATAGGTAAAAAGGTAGATAAATACATACGTAGGTAGATTTGTTGGTAGATATATCGCGCCATCTAAAATTCTAATAGCACCAACTACAATAATTCGATGAAAATTATCATAAGTA